GTGCGGGGACGGCGGGCACGCGGTTCTGGTATGGGGGGCGGTTGCTGATGTGGCGCATGGCTTCGCATACCCTTCAGAGGGCTCTGAAGGGGACAACAACGCATCACCTTTCCCCCAACACACATCCACAGACGCACGCACACACATGAGCAAAGGTGCACGCATACAAACCTTGTCCGTCTCGATCTGTGCGATGATGTCATCCGGTGCCACGCTGTCACCTGATTAGGCAGCGCGTGTGGAAAGTGGATGACTCATAAGCGGCAGAGAAGGGTGGACGACGCCGACGATCAGGCCTGGTGCGCCCCGCTAAAGGGCCCCAGCCGAACCGAACTGGGCCAGGTGAAGGCGACGCCAACGGGAGACCGTTCTCCGTGATGCCCATTTGCAGGGCAGCATACTGCCGAACGGCCGCCGCACGGCGGCAGGACGCTGGCTTGCACACGCGCCCTGCGCAGGTGCGGGCCCTTGCCAAGCGGGCGCCTGCGAGGCTGCGCTCAGTGTTACACCTCCGGCGGCTGCACGGTCACTCCAGCCGCCGCGCCACGCTAGGAGCGCGGGCTATTCGCACCCACCAGCCGCAGCCAGTGGCACGCTCCCGGGATCGCCATTTGCCGGCCCGGCAGCACGGCCCGAGCCAGAGACCAGCAAGCCACTGCGCCCCGGCCCCCGGCCCCTGCTGCTCACCAGGCTGCTTGAGCACGGCCGCCACGGTGCCCTCGCTGATCGAGTCGCCCATAGCGGGCACCACCACCTTGACGGCATCTGCTGTCCCCGGGCTGGTGTGCAGCAGGCGCCGCAGCAGCAGCGGCCCAGGTGCCCGCGCCGAAGCTTCCCGCAGCGCGTGTGCCGCTAGCTGCGGCGCCGCCAGCTGCTGCTGCAGCTGCTGCGCGCCGGCATGCGCCGCGGGGGCCTGCCACCTGCGGGTTCAACAAAAGCAGCGCTGTGGGGTTGGCGGGCCTCCGCGGGCTGCCTCGCACGGGTGTGGCACGTGCCTGCATGCGAAAGCGCCGCGCTATATGCCCCTGCATCCACACATAATTGGACCCGTGGACACCGTGGTGGTTCTGCGCGAGGGGCCCGGCAGCGTCATCGCAGTTTCCCGGGGCCAGGGGGGAGCAAGGAAGGTGGTGCCAGCCACGCTGCAAGGTGGCCAGTAACATGCCCGCCGATGCCACGCAAGTTTGTGATCCGCCACGCACCGGCTAGTGTGGAGCGACGGCCGTTGGCTGGCCCGACCTGCAGCGTAAGCCGGCGGACACAACCATGAGCGTGCCACCCGGCTTTCCAGCTGTGAAGCATTGCTGAGCTAATCACCGGGCGGCGTAGACTCACCTGCGCTCGATCCAGCTGCCAAAACGCTGCCTTCAGTATACGCAAATGCCTGCGCGACCAGAGAAGAGCAGTGAACGGTCTTGATCTGGGCCGCGATCGGTGTAGGTACGCCCTACACTTCGCGTAGCTCACCTGCTCGCTGAGCAGCGCTCTGCAGCGCCGCAGTGCTCTGAGCGCTCTCATGTTGCGGACTCCAAGCCCTCCGCTTGATCTACAAGCTTGCTGGAGGCCTTTTTGTTCGAAACGGAATTTCTCATGCAAAAGAGGTTTGTTGTAGCACCTGGGACGCTACATACCGATGTATATCGTGGGACTTGACATGCCGCGATCATGCACACTTCGGTGTGCCTTCAACAACGGAAGATGCGGTTGTCGCTTTTCTGGACCGCGTTGCACATAGAAGCAAGCTGCTGGGATAGTCACTTTCAAAGCTTCCGCATGCTGTTACCTCACACACCAAGCGTCGTTTTCACCAGATCCACACTGATCAGGAGCGCGCCATCGCTCTTTTCGGCCCTCCATCATCTCTTTCACGCACGGCGCCATTTTGCGAGGCAAAATCCTGATTTCAAAATCATGCCAACGCAGCGGGCCACCAGGGCGGCACGTCCAGGCAGCCGCAGCAGCATTAGCAAGGGAAGCTCGCCACCTGACGCCACCACTAGCGCCGCGGTTGACGTGCCCGTCGCCATCGAAAAGGCCGGCGCCGCAAAGGCAGCGAAGAAATCACGCATCAGCAAAACGGCTGAGGGCCGCGGCGGCAGCGGGAGCGGGGCATCCCTCGACGTGCCGGCGAACACCGTTGAGGGCTGTGTTGATGGGGGCGGCGGCGACGGCCGGCAAGCGGGTGCGCCGCGCCGCGGCAAGCGCAAGGGGCAGCCGGTTCAGGAGCAGGCGACTGCCGTCCAGTTTTCCGAAGAAGAGGTTGCGGAGGTGGGCCCTAGGAGGCTGGCCGCGTCTGCAGGCCCCTGACTGACCTTGCGACATTTGTTGATACTGCTAAAAATATCATCCGTTCAAAGCGCCGGGTCAAAAGCTCAAAAAGTCATATCTTGCATAAACATCGCTTTCCAACCGCCGCGCTTTTGACGCGCAGGCACGCGAGCAGCTGCTCGGCTGGTACGACCGCGTGCACCGCGTGCTCCCCTGGCGGCGCAACCCGCACTCCAGGCTGCCAGAGCGGCCGGAGCAGGCTGCAGCGGGCGTGCCGGCGGCGGAAGGCGCGCCAGCGGGGCTGGGTGCGCAGGAGTTTGCCTACCGGGTGTGGGTGTCAGAGATCATGCTGCAGCAGGTGGGGGGCACTGGGATTACGCGTGAAATCAGAGCGAGATACACAGGGTCATGGTTTCCGCGCATGCGTACGTGTGTGCGCGCGCTTGCGCGCGCATGTGTGGGTGTGTGCGTGTGTACGCGCACGCCCCGTGGGTGGCGATGGCTGCTGCTGCTCTCAGCCCCTGGCGCACCCTCAACTGCTCCCCTGCCTGCACGCCCCCGGCCACCCTCCCGCAGACCCAGGTGGCCACTGTTATCCCCTACTTCCAAAAGTGAGTGCACATTCAAACACATGGGCCACAGACGGGCTGCTGTGCAGCTCCCAAGCGTTGAAGAGCAGGGGCCCAGGTTCGAATCATGACACTGCCGCTGCCGCAACGAAGTCGGGGGCGCCGCCTCTCAGCGCCACCAGAGGCCGCACCGCCACGAGAGCAAGCGCCCCACCGCTGCGGCCTGAAGCGGCGGCCGCGCCGGGCGCGCCTCACAGGTGGCTGGCGCGCTGGCCGACGGTTGCTGACCTGGCGGGGGCCAGCCAGGAGGACGTCAACCAGCAGTGGGCCGGTGAGGGGCGCAGCGGGGCGCATGCGGGCACTGGTGTTGCGATCATTATGGCAATCGGGCGAACGGTGGCGGCCGGGCCGAGAGCGCTCGGCATTCCTGCCGCCACCAGCAGAGCGCGCGCCATGCGCTGGCCTGGCTGCGGCGTGCGTCCCCCGCCGCGGCCCCAGCCTGGAGGCCAGGCTGGTGGTTTGCGCGGCGCCTCTGCTGCGACCGCCACCAGATCTCGTGGCCCCTCACACATGCGTGTTGTGCACTCTCATGCTCCCTCAAAGACGCGCACGCTTTTCCACACCACCCACGCACACAAACGCATGCACACACACACACACACACAACAGCACGCACACAGACCCATATACAAACACGCACACACAATACACACAACAAACAACACACATACAACCCACACACACAGGCCTGGGCTACTATCGCCGCGCACGTTATCTGCTGGACGGGGCAAAACACGTGATGGAGAAGCTGGACGGCAGCTTCCCAACAACCGCAGAGCGGCTGCGCGAGATCCCGGGCGTCGGGCCGTATGTGGGTGCCGCTCACCCCCACCCCTTAAACCGCCATCACACGGGCGCCATGCAACATGCCGGGAATATTTCTGCGCTCACAACCAAAACCGCTGCCGCTTATCGCGGCCCCTAAGCCGACCCACACCTAGACGCCCCCCTCCCCCCCCCACATTACTCCGATTTGCATTCAAGCATCATCACCGCCGCCCGCGACCCCACAGACCGCGGCGGCCGTGGCGTCCATCGCGTTCAGCGACGCCGCCGCCGCCGTCGACGGCAACGTCATCCGCGTGGTCAGCCGGCTGCGGGCCCTGGGGGGCGACCCGACCAAAAACACCCGGGCCATCGAGGCCCTCGCGGGGCAGCTGCTGCACCCCGCGCGGCCGGGCTGCCACAACCAGGCGCGTACCGCGTGACCCCGAGGATATTGTCTCCGCGCTTCTGGCTGTGGAGGAGGCGGCAGGAGGGCCGGGGCCTCGTCTGCCGAGCCTGCTGCACTCTGCGGAGCCTGCTGCCAATGGCGGCTCGCGCCCTGGAGGGCTGCGTGGATCGCCCCTTGCCCACAATGTGCAGCGGCCCAGGCCAACAACGGTGCTGGCAGCCGCGCGTTCAAAAACAGAGGAACCCTCGGTTGAACCCTGGTCGAACCCTGGTCAAACCCTGGTTAAACCCTGGCCAAATGCGCCGCGTGCGCGCCGCCACCCGCACCAAAACGTCACCAGGCGATGATGGAGCTGGGCGCCACAGTCTGCAAGCCCACCGCCCCCTCCTGCGGCGCGTGCCCCGTTGCAAGCGTCTGTTTGGCCGCGCGGCGCGTGGCGGACCACGTGGCGGCTGGGGGTGACCCCCAGGCCGAGGGGGCGCCGCGGGCGACGGACTTTCCCGAGAAGGTGCGGGGTGCTGGGAGCGCCGTGGGGTGGGGTGTGTTTGATGTAGGGAGCGGGGTGTTGACGTGCAATCGGGCCGAGTTGGCTGATGCAAGTGGCGTGATCTGACGGTAGGATAGCTGGTGCCCAGCACACTTGCATGGCAACCGGCTTCTTAAACATATGCTTGCGTCAGCGACATGCGCAGCGGTGAAAATGATGCAGTGCTGACGAGCTCTGGGTTCACATGTGGCCATCATGCGCAGGTGGCCAAGGCGGCCAAGAGGGAGCAGCACGTAGCGGTGTGCGTGGTCAAAGTGTGGGTCAAGCAGCAGCAGCAGCAGCAGCAGCAGCAGCAGCAGCAGCAGCAGCAGCAGCAGCAGCAGCCAGCCGGCGAGGACTGCGCCGCAGCCGCGCCGCTCGCCAAGCGGCGGCGCGCGCAGGGGCAGGGCAGCATTCTGTCGTTCCTGGCGGCGCCGCAGCAGGGGCCCGCGGCGGGCGGCAGCAGCAGCGGCGGCGCAGGGGAATCTGGCGCGGGCGCGCCCGAGAGCGAGGAGGCGCTCGCCAGGGGCGGGGCAGCTGCCTGGTACCTTCTCGTGCAGCGGCCCGCGCAGGGCCTGCTGGCGGGGCTGTGGGAGTGCCCTGGTGAGCGCGGGTGCGGCCGGCAGGAGGCGGCGGCGCCGAGCAGGGCTGGAGGCGTGGGTTGACGAGGGGCCGCTGCCGCATGTGGTGCCTTGTATGGATGAGAGCAGGAACATAAGCAAGGCCGGGCCGGAAGCAGCACGGCCCCACCGCCCGCCTGTCTCGCCACTGCCCCGTGGCGCTCCAACACCCCTTGCTGCCGTTGACCGCCCCCTCCTGCCCCCAGGCGTCGAGATAGCAGACGACACCGCCAGCGGCGCCGGCACAGCGGCGGCCGCCGCGCGCCGCGCCCTCGCCGACGGCCTCCTGGCGCGCCTCGGCGTCGCCCTGCCGGGCGGCAGCAGCGGCGGCGGCGGCGGCCGCGGCGGCAATGGCACCGCCGCCCGGCTTGTTGCGCGGCGCCAGCTGGGCAGCGTGGTTCACGTTTTCTCCCACATCCGCCAGACGAGCCACGTGGAGCAGCTTGTGCTGTCAGCGCCCTCCCTGGAGGCCGCCTGCAAGGCGGCTGGGGTCGGCGCGGCGGGGGCGACCGCTGCGGCGGCCGTGGCGGCGGATGGGGCGACGAGCAAGGGGACGGCTGGGCGGCGGCGCGGGGCCGCGGCGGGCGGCGGCGACGAGGACGGGGGCAGCGGCAGCGACGGCGACGGCGACGGCGACGGCGCGGAGGACGATGGGGGCAGCGGCGGGCGCGGCGCGGCGGGGGCGGCGGCGGCGGTGGCTGCGCTGCGGTGGGTGTCTCAGAGGGACCTCCGCGGCGGGGCGGAGGGCCTCACGTCCGGCGTGCGCAAGGTGCTGGCGCTTGCACATGCGTTGGACAGCGGCGCCGATGAAAAGGCCAAGGGAGGGAAGAGGGCCGCCCCTAAGGAGGGCAAATGAGGGGCCTGGTCTGCCGGGTGTGAGGAGCTCCTAAGATTATTGCTGCTGCAAGTGCTGCCACATAAGTGGCCCTGCCTCAACTCCTTCACTGCAGCGCTGATATCCCTGTGATCAGTGGCTGTTATGCACCTCATGCACTGCTCCCCCCTTTGTGATTGGAGTGCCTATGTTGTTGTTACTGATGAAGAACCTCGTGTGCACAATCTGTGCCTGCCCTGAGCACAGGGGCAGCGGGGAGCCGTTGCATGACCTCAACCCCCTTTGAAAACACTACACCGCACATGACCGATCCAAACCGAAACGCCGGCTGTGAAGTCGTGTGGGGTCGAGGCGTGGGGGCGACACGTGGCGTGAATGCATGCGCACACCTGGGCGCACCTTCCCTCTCACACAATTTTCGTTTCAAAACTGTGCAACGTTTTTTGTCAGGGGATTGCGGGGATCAAGGAAACTCTGAAATCTGGGGTGCAGCAACAGACACCACCAACAAACAACGGACGACAATCCTGAAGACACTCAGCAGGTTGATTGGCAAAAGCACCCGGACACCGCCGCTGCGCTGGCATCGCCAATGGCGCAGAGAGCGGCAGTTTAGCGGGTGCGAGGTCATCTAAAACCGCGGCTTGTCCCAAAACCGTGCAGCGAGGCGAGCTTGATGCAGCTCAAGACAAAACGGGACGCCGCAGGGCATGCGCAAGCGCCGCAACCGCGACGGCTGTGTGGGCCGGGACCTTGCGTTGGCTACACCTGCAGCCCTGGCGGCACGCACGCGATTGCGGTTGAATCACAAAACAAACAGACTCCCCTAGACGGTCCCCCAAAAGCACCGCGGCGGCGCGTTGGTTCGATTGGGCGGGTGCGAGTGAGGCAGGGCCGCACCCCAAGACAGTTTGCCAGCCGACTCCGATCCCCCCGGCCAGATCGTGCGCCCCTGCCCCAAACAACCACACCTCCACCCTGCAACACACAGTTTGTTTGTTCTCTGCACAAAACCCTTCCGCAGCTCTCGCGGCGCAGGGCCCTGCCGCCGGCAACTACGCATCACCAAATGTGGGAAGCGTTGGGCTTCCCAGCCGTGCCGCGCACTGCAAGCGCGTCCATCCTCAGCACACCCCGCCCGCCTTCCGAGGCGGGCGAAACGCGCAAAGCCTGCCCCCCGCGGCGCGCTCAGCTCCAGTGCTGGCGCTCGCTGCTGGCAAAGGCGGTGTAGAAGGCGGCGCCGAAGAGCTGGCAGGCCACCGTGGGCAGGAACAGGGCGAGGGCCCAGCTGCCGGTGGTGTCGAGGAGGTAACCCGCGCTGGTGACGCCCAGGACGCCGGGCAGGGCCCCCGCGGTGTTGGTGATGCCCAGCAGCGCGCTGGCGTACTTTGGGGACAGGTCCTGGGGGAGGGGGTGGCGGTGTGTGGGGCTATGTGAGCGTGTGTTGGGCGGGGTTGGCGCGCGAGTGTGCATGTGCGCTCGCGCACGTGTGTGCGAGGGAGGGCGGAGGGTGACGGTTGCCACTTTTAACTATAGTCGCAGACGCACAGTTGGGGAGGGCGCCCACGCCAAGCGGGCACCCTCCTGCAGGCCCACAAGGCGACGCGATGCGGTGCGCTGTCCGAGCCCATCCCCCCAAACCCCCCTTGAGCGGGTGAGACGCGCAGCACCATCTCACCCAACACACGCTGCTGTGAATCCCCATTGCACGAGGCAGGCTGGTGGAAAGCGGCAAGCGACGAGGTCCAACACGACGGACATGCCTGTGGCTCACCGCCCGGTGACTCATCATCGGCCCCACCTGGTGGTTGCAGTACAGCCCAGCGCGGCTCCACGCCCCCAGGCCAAACCCGACGGACAGCAGCCCCACCAGCAGCGCCGCCGTGCCGCCGCCGGCCGCGGCGGGCGTCTCGGGAGTGAGCGCCGCGCAGGCGGCCATGCAGGCGGCGGGGCCGACGAAGGCGATGCCCTGTGCGGCCTTCCTGACGCGCGTGAGGGGCCAGCCCCTCTTGACCAGGCCGTCTGCCGTGGGCCCCACCACGGGGGTCATCACCACCATCGCCACGTAGCTGGGGAATTTGAATGGCGGGTGCGTGGAGGGTGTGGGGGAAGGGGTGGTTGAGGGGGACATGGGCGGCTGAAAGCTGGGCGGGACAACAGGGGCTCAGGTGGGAAGACAAGAGGGTTGGGCAGGTGCAGGTGTACGAGGGTACCCAGCCGGGCGCAGTCCCTGTCCGTCGGTGGGCATGTCTGAATGCGCACACAAGCATTCGCATGCGAGCTGCCCCACGCTACCGGCCCGCCCCTGCGCGGCCCCCCGGCTATCGGCCCGCAGCTCACGGAATGAGCGTGAGGAAGGATGAGTCGCGGACGTCCAGGCCCAGCGCCGCCTCAAAGTAGGAGGGCAGCCAGGCCAGCAGCGTGTAGTAGCCCCAGTTGAAGCAGAAGTGAGCCACTGTGACAGCCCACACCGGCCGCGACGAGAAGAACGCGCCCCAGGGAACGCCGCCGTCGCGCTCCTGCTCCCCCTCCTGCTGCTGCTGCTGCTGCTGCTGCTGCTGCTGCTGCACCAGCTCAACGTGCCGCCCTGGCAGGCGCAGCTGCACCGCGCCGCCGCCCAGCGACTGCCGCCACCCAGCGCCGTCACCGCTGCCGTTGCCAGGGGCGACAGCGCTGCTGGCATCGTCAAAATCAATGGTGCTCTCCAGGTCGCTGCCCGCGGCGATGCGCGCGTCCAGGATCGCCTCCCTGACTGCAGCGCCGCTGCCCGCGTCTGCGCCAGAGTGGGGCCGGGGCCCGAGCGGGCGCCCTCGCTGCTCCTCCTGCGCCACGCAAGGGGCGGGGGCGTGCGGCGGCGAGGGCGCGGGTCGGCTCCATGCACCACCTCGCGATAAGTGCGGGGCGCACCAAACGCTAGGCTCCTTTCACGACTTGATTATCTTTGCAACTCGTCCCAACACAGCAACCCCCTGCGCCTGCACCCTTTTGCCCGGCTGCACAGGAACAGGTGTGTGCGTGTGCACATCCACAATCCCCACACACTCACGCACACATGCACGCACGCTCACACATACACACATCAGACACGTGCGAACACTTTTGACCGCCTTCAGGCACACACACATGCACACACAAGCGCGCACACAGGTTGTCTTTACCAGCACCCACCTTGACCGCGGGGTCCTCCTCCTCGGGCCTGAACGCCGGCCACGCCAGGCACCACACGCCCCCCAGCGCCGCAAACAGGTAGAACACGCTCGGCCAGCCCGCCGCGCGGATGAGGGGCCCCGCGATAATCAGCCCGGCCACGCTGCCGACGTCCAGGCCGCCCCAGACGGTCGACACGGCGCGCGACCTCTCAGCTGAAGGCACCTGCCTGGCCAGCACGCTGGTGGCCGCGCTGGGCGCGAAGCCCTCGCCCAGGCCGACCAGCGCGCGCGACGCGCAGAGCGCGGGCAGTCCGAGGTGGGCCGCGGCGGGCGCCAGCAGGGTGCCTAGGGACCAGAGGCCGACGCCGGCCTGCAGCACGCGCGCGCCGCCGACCCTGCACGCAACATTTTGTGAGGGGAGTGAGGGATGAGGTGGCGGCCCGTCAAGAGTGGGCTGAGGCGCTCCAGAGCTGGGGGCCAAAGCAAGCGATGCACTGCTGGGCGCTGCAGCTGACGCCCCACTGCACGTTTTTGCAAGGCGGCTCGCAGCTGCCTGCCTCTCCACGGCGCATGGTGCGGCAGCAGAACATTGCGCGGGAGTGCGGCCCGCGGCACACCCAGCCCAGTGCTGAGTGCGCGCAACACTTGGCGGTGCGGCTCACGTGGTGGAGATCCAGCCTGCGGGAATCTGAGTCAGCGCGTAGCCCCAGAAGAAGCTGCTCGAAACCAGCCCGCGGTCTGTGGCGCTCCACCCCAGGTCGGCTGCCATTGGGATGACCGCGACAGACATGTTGACCTGGGAATGACAGTCGACAGATGTGGGGAGGGGTGAGACGCTGCGGGCATGGGAACAGGACCAAGGCAGAGGGGTAGGAGGATCGATGCGCTCGCATGAGTGAGGTGTCCGGCGCCACGCGCAGGGTGGGCCAAGGCACCAGTGTGACGTGGCGATGGGCCATGGCCGCACTCCACCCCAGGCACGTACCTTGTCCATATTGCAGAGCACAAATGCGCCCGCCATCATCGCCACCAGCCTCCAGCGATGAGGGACGCCACCACCGCCACCGCCGTCGCCGCCAGAGCGCGCGGCATCATGCCCGTCGGTGGTGCCCGCTGCTGCCAAAGATCCGTGATGCTGGCGCTGCTGCGGTGGGGCCGGTGCCTGTACTGCAGGCCCCTGATCAACGTTAGCATCATCGTCTCCCTTGAACAGAAGAACGCTAGATTTCAGGGCGGCGACTGGCGACCATCCGTTGCGAGTGGGCCGCTGCGTCCGCTGACGGTAGCTGCACGATGGATATCGAAGTCCTGTGAAAGATTCACGATGTTGCTGCAGAAGGCCCGTGCCGCCCCGATACAAGTGGCGATGCATCTTGACCAAACGGGCTAGCCCATACGTAAGATAGAAGGCAAATGATACAATAAGGTTTCGCGTGGGAGTACTGATAGCTCATTGTGGACATGTGCTTGCATCGGACAACTAGGTGTCACCTGCGGCACACCAGAGCCCACAGCACGGAACCTGGGGAGATGAGCTGTGCAGCGCTTTGATTGCCACAGCGCCTTGACGGTGTGGTCCCGGGCCCTGTGTCGATCCGTTGAGTTTACCCGCCATCTGTGTCCGCGGCCTTCGATCCATGCTGCGGCAAGCAGACGATGTAAGGCCCCTGATCTCAGCGCACTCAACATATTTCAAACGCGATCGCTTGACCCCAGGCAGCTGTTCTCTGCACGGCGTTCCTCCGCCCTAGTCGCTGCTGCAGTGCACGTGCGTTTCGTCCCGACGCGCCTGACGCACATCGACATCAACAGGCTGCATCCCAGCAGGAGTCATGCCGGCATGCACCTTGGACGATAACAACAATGGCAGCCCCTCGATCGCCGGCGCGCTGGGCGCTCTCACGCCAGCCACAGTAGACCCCTTGCGGCAGGCGGGCGCTTCAACCACGGCGGCAGTGGCCGCTCGCTCAGCTTCAGGGGAACACGCAAACGGCGGAGGTGTGGTGACAATCCGCGATGCGATCGAGGCGCTTCACGCCAACGCATCCCTGATTGCGTCGGCGGAGGAGCACCTGCAGCAGCTGCTGGCCAAGCAGCAGGCGCTCATGCTGGTGCGCCTGCCGACCAGGGCCGGATGCAGGGCGGCTCGGGCGCTCGTGTGTGCTGCCGCTGCTGCCGCTGCTGCCGCTGCTGCCGCTGCTGCCGCTGCTGCCGCTGCTGCCGCTGCTGCTGGTGATGATGATGATGAGGCGGCTGCAGAAGCGCAGCCCAGGTTGCCGCTGTGCAGCGTGCTGTTTCCTCCCGCAGGCAGCGCAGGCAAGCTGTCGGTGCGCCCGGCTGCTGCGCTTGCACCTTCGGCCAGCGGGCGGCCACCACGACCACCAAGCCTGCATTCGACTCCCACCCCTCATACTGCCAATTTATCCGCGTGCGCTTGCGAGCAGGCGGAGCGGCTGCTGGAGCAGGACCGCGTGGCGGCCCTCCTGGCGGACCGCCCCCTCGGCTTCCACCGCGGCCGCCCCGTCGCCGCGCTCGTCCTCGCGCGGTGCCTGCTGCACTGGGGCGTCCTCACCGCGCCCGGCGCGCCGCTCGACGACGATGCAGCGGCGCTGCTGCGCCGCTTTGCGGGCCTCCTGCAGCAGCAGCTGCAGGCGGCCTGCGACGACGACGCGGCGGCCGCCGCCGCCGCGCACGCGGGCGCGGGCGCGGGCGCGGGCTGGGGCGACACGCATCCGAGGGATCCTGACGGTGCTGCAGCGGCACCGGCTGGCGGCGCAGGCTCGGGCGCGGCGGCGGCGCCTGGGCGGGCCACAGCGGCGTATTGGCTGTCGGTTGCGTCGGCGCTGCTAGCGCTGGTCGTGCGCGCGCGCCGGCGTGCGGGGGCCGGCGGCGCCGCGGCCTCGGACGCCGACGCGCGGTCCCAGGCGATGCGGCGCAGCATCCAGCAGCTGCAGCGGCGGCTGGCGGACGGCGTCGGGGAGCTGCACCTTGGCGCCCGCCTGGGGGAGGGGCTGCACCAACTGTGGGCGCGGCGGCCCGGCAAGCAGGCGCCAGGCTGGGGGGAGGGCGGCGTCGCGGGCGCGGCGGAGGGGGAAGCGGGCGGCATGCACGAGCCGACGCCCAGCCTGGCCAGCACCAGCAGCACAGCCTCGAGCTTCCTGGGCAGCGCGCCGCCACAGGAGCCCGCGCCCGCGCCCGCGCCGCCGCAGCCGCTCGGGGCGGCGGCGGCGGCGGCGGCGGGGCCTGTGGGCCCAGCCGTGGCGGACCCTCTGGCGGAGTTTGCTGTCTCCCTGGATTCCATTGTCCAGGTGCGGGGCTGGATTTTGATTTTTCATCCAAAGACACTGTCCATGTGCCGCCGTCCCCCCTCTTCTTTGCACAGGCTTGCCCGGGCCCCCAACCCACTGCTGCCTACCCCTTCCGTGACCTGCCTGGCTGCTGCCTCGAGGCACTCTGGTGCAACTCATCAAATGATGCTGAAACCATCGCTCGAATCCATGATCCAGTATACCTTACATTTGGACTCCCTACACGCCCCCGACTGACGCGCACCACGCCCCCAAAACCCACCGAACAGGCCGCATTTGTGGCGGTCCGCGACCAGCTGCGGCGCCGTCTGCTGCCGCTGCTGGCAAACTGCATGCAGCACGCAGCGGGCGAGGGCGGCGGGGACAGGGGCGATGGCGGGGGCGGCGAAGACGTCAGGAGCGAGGGCGAGGGCGAGGGCGAGGGCGACGGTGAGGGCGGGCTCCTGTCTGCGGCGGCGCAGGAGTCGCTGCTGGAGGCGTACCGCGACTGGGCGGAGATGGTGGCCGCGCTCAGCGGTGCGGTGGACGCGCTGCAGGCAGAGTGCGTGCCGGCGGCGCTGGTGCAAGCCGTGCTGCAGCAGGTGGGCGCGCTCACACGGACGCACTGGCACGGGACACGATGCGTGGCGGCGGCCTTGCACAAAGGCACGGCCGGGTGCTTTGGCCGCCGTGCACGGAGGTTGTGTTGGGAGGCGACAGCGAGCTGCCTTTCCTTTCACAGCCCTTTGCTGCTATCCCTGTCCCACCCCGTTGCTCAGAGTGCTTGCGCCGCCCACGCCGGCAGCATGCCACCTGCCAACACGCCCACAATCTGGTTTCCCTACACGCATGCTATGCACGTATTTGCACAACACCAAACACAAAACACACGAACAGGCACACTCACACCCACAACCAAACACGCACATGCACGCACACACACGTTTTCTTACTTACACACATGCATGCGTGCGCACACACACGCATTCAGATTCTCTCCTGCTCACACATCAAAGCCATGCGCTTGTGGCTGCGCAACCCCGCAGGCCCTGGGGTTTGTCAACGCGCAGCTCTTCAACCAGCTGCTGCTGCGCCCGGAGCTCTGCTGCACCGCCAACGCGCGCTACGCGCTGCGCGGGCTCAAGCAGGTGGACGGCCTGCTGCTGCAGCTCGGGGAGGGGCAGCTGGGCAAGGCCGGCTGGGCTGCGCTCGACCACACGCGGCAGGTAGAACGGCGGGGCGGGCAGGGGGGGAGGGTGGAGGGGCGTCAAGCCGAGCAGAGACTGCCGGAGAGGACCACATGCAGCAGAGGTGTGGCACGCTGTCTATTGCCTATGGCGCGCGTGGCAGCTGGGCGCGACCCTTGGAGCCTTGCGACTGCCTACCTGCCTACTCCCAGCTGGTCCACACTTGCACACGCATGTGCACACATACACACACACACACACACACACGCACACGCACACACACGCACACACACGCACACACACGCACACACACGCACACACACGCACACGCACGCCCGCACGTCCCCCCCCCAAGGCCCTCCAGTTCCTGGCCCTGGAGCGCAAGGGGGAGCTGTCCCACGATGACATCGCACGCGAGCTGTGCCCCGCCCTCAGCCAGCAGCAGCTCTACCGCCTCTGCACCACAAGCTGGGACGACACGCCCGGCGCAGGCGCGGGGCGGGCAGGGGCAAAGGGGTGTGGGGGGGGGGGTGGCAGGGACGATGGTGGGAGGAGCGTGACGCGAGCCGGCAGGAAGCGGCTGTTCTTGAACCTTCATGGCTTGGGGCTGTGCACGGCATCACCCGCTTTGATCGTGCCTGGCCCGCGGAGCCCGCGTTTGCGCGCCATGTCACTGCACACGCTCACCCGTCTGCTGCCCTCACATGCTATGCACGCCCGCAGAGAGTGCGCGCGTGTCAGGGGAGGTCCTGGAGGCGATGCACGCGGCCCACGCCGCCGCCTCCGGCGCCCCGGGCTCCACCCTCGCTGGCCTGGCCCTCGGCGGGGACAAGGGCCCCGCGCTGACTAATCAGGGCCTGGTCGTAACCTGCCTCCTGGATGAGCCCGGGCCGCCGCCGTTCACCACGCCGGCCGACGGCGCCGCGGGCGCGGGCGCGGGCAGGAGCTCGACCGAGGCGGTGCTGTCGTGGCTGGAGGGGCGCGACTGGTCCCAGGGCGTGCCCGTGCCGCAGCAGCTGATGGAGGGCTGCCCCGCAGAGGTCTTCGCGTTCCTGCAGGAGCCGACGCCCAGCTTTTGATTCGGGCGCCCTGGGGCCGGCGCGCCGCGCGTGGCAAGGATTCCGGGGTGCCATGTGGCGTGATTGCAATTCAAGCCGCTCGCCGCAGACAAACAGTTCGTCGGCCCGACTTGAGAATGCCGCCTTTTGAGTGTAGTCTTGTGTTTGTCATGGCGCATGCATGTTATGATGGTGTACTGTCTGGTGTACTGTCTGCTGCCGCACCCCTTGTTGTGCTCTTGTGATTCAAGACTTGCAGGCAGCTGCTGCGACATGGCGCCCACACCTGTTGCTCGGGCTCTGCAGGGTGCGACCACAACGCAGGGCGGGGCCCTGAGTGGGCCCCCTGGCTGCTTTTCTTTGGCGGCGCGCAACCCCGTGTGCACACTGCCGGCTTGTGGGCTACCTTCCGATGCGTCCAGCATACGGCTGAGGGCGAGCTGTGTGCAATGCTGCGCCGGTTGAGAAAATGGCGACGCCCCTTGTCTCACGCCCTGCATGGCCAACCCTATTGCTTTTGGGTGTTGCGTGTTGGCCCTTGCCTCGCGCTCTGATCGCTGCACCCTCTTGGTCTGCACGGCCACCCGGTTTCTGGAGTGTGCAGGTCGGCGAGGCTTGTGCCGGACAGTCATGTGTAAAACGTTACGTGTCACCAAGGGGTCAGGGGTGTATCAATGGGGATGCCACTCCGGCGCGTCCGGGGAGGTGGGTGTCGCGATGTGTGCGCCGCGAGCTCCCGAGGCAATGCGGCAGACCGCCGCGCAGCCATCATGGGGGGGTACATAGGCAGAGGACATTCCAGCGGTGGCGCAGCACACAGGGGACAGAAGCCTCACGGTCAACGTAAGAATGGGGGGGGGGGTCGGACCAACCAAAAGACAGGGCCGGGCCGGCCACGCCGGGCCACGAGCGTCGGCGTTCAAGACAGTGGGCCAACCAGGCACAAGGGATGAATGCGCGCGCGCCGCGCGCGCGTCGCACGGCGGGCGGCGACGCGCGGCGCGACGCGACGCAAGGCAAGCTGCTGCTGCGCCTCGAGCGCGCGCCCGGCGCCGCTCAGGCCGCCGCTGGCGAGAGCGCTGAGCCGGGCGTGTCGCTGGATTGCTGCTGCTGGTCCTTCTTGGGGGCGACGTAGCCCAAGCTCGTGCCTGCGGGGGCAGCAACGGCGCACACAGGTGCTCGTTTCGTTTTGTGTTTGCAGAGAGCTGCGAGGGCTTGCGGTGGTCGGCAAACGACAAGCCATGAGGCTGCTGGGCTGGTGCATGGTTGACCCATGCACAGCAGAGGCATTTTGACGCCTGCAGGCTGCGATTGCAATGACGTAGGCGTGTCTGACAGCATGGAGAGCCTCCCAACGGCAGGGCGCGGCAGGCGGGGCGCCCACCCATCTCTTTGGCGAGACTCTGCAGCTCCGACATGTGCTGTGGTGGGGGAGGGATGGGCGGGCGGACGAGGAAAATGGGGCAGAATCGAGGGCCGTGGCAAGGCGCAGGCCTGATTGCCGTGCAGTGCGCCCCAAGTAGAGATGGCGGCGGATGTGTGACCCCCTCTCGCAGAAAGCGAGAAATGTACCAATGCGGCACGCAATTTGCAAAAGCTCTTTTCATGCATATGGGTGCACTCGTGCAGCACTATTCGCACTCACACACACACACAGACACACACAAACACACACAAAAAACATAACTCCCCACACCACACCCACAGACCCAAACTAACCTTCTTCCTGAAGTTGTCCACCGTGGCGTTGACCTCCTCGTTGGGCAAGTTGACCGCAGACAGCACCGCGGCCGCC